AAAGTCGAGAAATCGAAAATTTGAAGAACAGATCGAAAAATCGAATCTAAAAATCCAGAAATCGACGTAGAAAAATCCAAAAATTGAGAAATCGGGGAGTCAAAATATTGAAAATTTGAAAAATCAGTCGGGAAATCAAACTTCAAACATCATATTATGTCGAAATCGAAAAATCCGAAAGCCAAAAAATCGGAAAATCCAAAAACCAAACAATAGAGGAATATTAAAAAAAAAACACAAAAATCGATAAATCGAATTAGGAAAACCCAACAATCTTAAAATTCAAAAGTCGGAAAGTTCACAAATCGAATAGTCGAAACAATGAAAATTTGAAGAATCGATCGAAAAATCGAAAATTGGAGAATCGATCGATAAGTCGAAAAAATTAAAATTGAAAACTCGAAAGGTCACAAAATTGAGAAATCGATCAAAAAAATCAATAGTCGAATAATCGAGAAATCGAAAAGTCGAAACATTGAAAATTTGAAAAATCGGTCGAGAAATCAAAAATACGAAAAATCGAAAATCGAACTCACAAAATCGAAAATTTGAAGAATTGATGGAAAAAATCGACATATCGAAGTCGAAAGACCGAAAAATGGTAAAATCCAAAAATTGAAATATCGAGAAAAACGAAAACTGGAAAAATCTGAAAATGGAGAAAAATCGGAAAATCCAAAAATCGAGAAATCGGAAAGTCAAAATATTGAAAATTTGAAAAATCGGTCGGGAAATCAAACATCATATTATGTTGAAATCGAAAAATCCGAAAGCCAAAAAATCGGAAAATCCAAAAACCAAACAATAGAGAAATATTAAAAAAAAAACAAAAATCGAGAAATCGAAGTAGAAAAACCGAAAAATCGTAAAATCCAAAAGTCGGAAAGTTCAAAAATCGAAAAGTCGAGAAATCGACAATCGAAGTCGAAAGACCGAAAAATGGTAAAATCCAAAAATTCAAATATAGAGAAAAAGGAATCGGAAAGTCGAAACATTGAAAATTTGAAGAATCGATCGAAAAATCGAAAGGTCCAAAAATCGAACATTCGAAAAATGCAATTGTCAAAAAATCGGTAAATCCAAAAACCAAACAATAGAGAAATATTGAAAACTAAAATAAAAATCGAGGAGACGAAAATTTGAAAAATCTAGAAATGGAATAGTCGGAAAGTTCAAAAATCGAAAAGTTGAAACATTGAAAATTTCAAGAATCGATCAAAAAATCCAAAAGTCAAAAAATCTGAAAATCCAAAAAATTGAGGAATATTGAAAAAATCCAAAAATCAAGAAAACGGAAAGTCGAGAAATCGAAAATTTGAAGAATAGATCGAAAAATCGAATTCAAAAATCCAGAAATCGAAGTAGAAAAATCCAAAAATTGAAAAATCGGGAAAGCGAACATTCCAAAAATGCATATGTCCAAAAATCGAAAAAGTCAAAAATTAAGAAGTCGAAAAATTGGGAAATCGAAAATTTAATAAAACCGATCAAAAATTTCAAAAGTTGAAAAATCAAGAAATCGAAAAATGAAGTCGGAAAATCCAAAAATCAATCATTCGAAAAATCGAAAATCGAAGTCACAAAATCGAAAATTTGAAGAATTGATCGAAAAATGCAAAAGTCAAAAAATCGGATAATCGAAAAGCTAAAAAAATCGGAAAACTAAAAATTGAAATACAGGAAAATTGAAAAATCCAAAAATCTGAAATTCGAAAAGTCCGAAAATCCAAAAATCCAGTAATGGAAAAGTTCAAAAATCCAAAAATCGAAAAGTCAAAAATATCGAAAATTTAAAAATCGATCCAGAAATGAAACACGAAAATCGAAGTCACAAAATCGAAAATTTGAAGAATCGATTGAAGAATCGATGGAAAAATCAAAAAATCGGAAAGTCGAAAAGCCAAAAATCGTAAAATTCAAAAATTGAAATATCGGGAAATTGAAAAATCCAAAAATCTAAAACTCGAAAAGTCGAAATATCCAAAAATCGAGTAATAGAAAAATCCGAAAATCGAAAAGTCAAAATATCGAATATTTGAAGAATCGATCGAAAAGTCCGAAAGTCAAAAAATCTGAAAATCCAAAAAATTGAGGAATATTGAAAAAAATCCAAAAATCCAGAAAACGAAAAGTCGAGAAATCGAAAATTTGAAGAATAGATCGAAAAATCGAATCCAAAAATCCAGAAATCGAAGTAGAAAAATCCAAAAATTGAGAACTCGGAAAGTTGGAAAATCCAAAAATTGAAAAATCGAGAAAGCGAACATTCGAAGAATGGATAGGTCGAAAAATCGAAAAAGTCAAAAATTAAAAGGTCGAAAAAATCGATCAAAACAAAATCGAAAATTTGAAGAATCGATCGAAAAATGCAAAAGTCAAAAAACCGGAAAATCGAAAAGCCAGAAAGTCGGAAAATCCAAAAATTGAAATATAGGAAAATTGAAAAATCCAAAAATCTGAAATTCGAAGTCCGAAAATCCAAAAATCGAGTAATGGAAAAGTTCAAAAATTCAAAAATCGAAAAGTCCAAATATCGTAAATTTGAAGAATCGATCGGAAAATCGCAAGGTCGAAAAAATCGAAAAATCCGAAAGTTAAAATATCGGCAAATCCAAAAGTCAAAAAATCGAATCACGAATCAAACATACGAAAAATCGAAGTCAGAAAATCGAAAATTTGAAGAATCGATCGAAAAATCCAAGTCAAAAAATCTGAAAATCCAAAAAATTGAGGCATATTGAAAAAATCCAAAAATCAAGAAAACGAAAAGTCGAGAAATCGAAAATTTTAAGAATAAATCGAAAAATCGAATCCAAAAATCCAGAAATCGAAGTAGAAAATTCCAAAAATTGACAACTCGGAAAGTTGGAAAAACCGAAAATTGAGAAATCGAGAAAGCGAGCATTCGAAAAATGGATAAGTCGAAAAATCGAAAAACTCGAAAATTAAAAAGTCGAAAAATTGAGAATCGAAAATTTAATAAAATCGATAAAAAATTAAAAAAAAGTTGAAAAATCAAGAAATCGAAAAACGAAGTCGGAAAATCCAGAAATTAAACATTTGAGGAATCGATCGAAAAATGCCAAAGTCAAAGAATCGGAAAATCGAAAAGCCAAAAAATCGGAAAATCCAAAAATTGAAATATAGGAGACTCGAAAAATCCACAAATCTGAAATTCGAAAAGTCCGTAAATCCAAAGATCGAAAAGTCAAAATATCGAAAATTTGAAGAATCAATCGAAAAATTGCAAGGTCGAAAAAATCGAAAAATCCAAAAGTTAAAAAATCGGAATATACAAAAACCAAAAAATATAGGAATATTGAAAAAATCCAAAAATCAAGAAACGAAAAGTCGAGAAATCGAAGTAGAAAAATCTAAAATTTTAAAAATTGATCGACAAATCGAAGTTGAAGAACCGAAAAAGCATAAAATTCAAAAATCGAAATATCGAGAAATTGAAAAATCCAAAAATTGTGAACTCGAAAAGTTGGAAAATTAAAAATTCGAGAAATGGAGAAGTCGGAAAGTCCAGAAATCGAAAAATCGAAACAATGAAAATTTGAAGAATCGATTAAGAAATCAAACACACCAAAATCGAAAAATTCAAGGCGAACATTCGAAAAATCCAAAAGTCGAAAAATTGGAAAATCAAAAAAAAAAGAGAAATAGTGAAAAAAAAATCAAGAAAACGAAAAGTCGAGAAATCGAAAATTTAAAGAATCGCTCTAAAATTGAATCCAAAAATCCATAAATCAAAGTTGAAAGTCGGAAAATCCAAAAATCGAGAAATGGAAAAGTCGGAAGGTCCCAAAAGTCGAAAAGTCAAAACATTGAAAATTTGAAGAGTCGATCGAAGAACCGAAAAATCCTAGGCGAAAAAGCGAACATTCGAAAAATCTAAAAGAAAAAAAAAACGAATGATCCGAAAACCAAAAAATAGAAAAAAATAAAAAAAAATCCAAAAATCAAGAAAACGAAAAATTTTGAATCACAGTGTTTCAATTTCTCGATTTCTCGACGGATATTATTATCAACAATTATTATTAATTAACATTCAAACGCAAATTTTATTCCGTGAAAATGTAACATTCGTCGCCTCGGAAGCACCACAAATACCGATCGTTTTTTTTTATGTTATTACAAAATTGATTGAATTCCTTGATACTAAATTACTTGCGATTTTGAGTGGGTTTCCAATTATTACAGGTTGCAAGTTAATGCGGAAGTAACATTTATACCAAGGTTGACCACACGTCTAATACAAAATATTATGTAAGGCATTATTGACATTATTAGCACTTACACAACAACGCCTCTATACATCATTTATCGACAGGTTTTTCCATTTCCCACATTCTCAAGTTACATAAACCCCCATATCGCGAAAATTTTTTTAAACTAGGAATAAAAACGCTCAAATAAGCCGTAATTTGAGGTTTCAGCTTACAAATTACCCAACGACGATAGCAAGCAGAAAATCTGTGTCATAATGGCTCTAATTACAGGAGGTGTGTTACAGTGCCGCGAACCATTAAAGCGCAATGCGGTTATGATGTAACATTTCTTTTATTTCGAGCGACAAAATACGCTTTAAATATGACAATGTCTTCAAAATTATTACACAACACACTCAGTGTAAGTCAAAATTAGCACGAAAACTTTCATAATTGCGTACTTCTACGACTTTGGTCATTTAAAATGTTAACATATATTCGGAGATTAAGTGAGTCTATTGTTTAAATCGGGTAGCTGTTTCGATATTCAGATTTCGAACAGTTTCACTTGTTAAAACACTGTATTCTGTCGATGTGCTTCTACAAAATCTCATTGGAATCTTAATTTCGCGTAGAAAGTGAATCTTTAATGTATGCTGTACATAGTTAGGTTCATGTTTTTTTTTTTTTTTTATAAGTCGTGAGTTGTTTCCTCAATGCGAAAAGAAAACTTCGTAACACTATCAATTTTAAACGACACTAATTAAGCTCATTTCTTTGTTTCAGATATGTACCTGTGATTTAAACAAATGGACTGATGTAAGTATTTTTGAAACCGACCGTATTAATTAGAAATAGTTAAATCTTTAATTAAAACTAAATTGACACGACTTCTTTCACCGAAGCAGATGTTGCGGTATAAAAGTTCAATCCGACAATTATTAGACACAGTTCACTTTATAAAAGATTTACTGTCCAGTTTCTCCGCCGTTCGTTAGTATAATAAATCATTTCGTTCGTCTTACTCCTAATAAGACCTCGCAAAAATTTTGACATAAATATCATGTGATTAAAATCAACGACATTTTTGGCTCATTTAAGCTATGATGTAACCATGATGCAGTTCCCTCGCCAAAAAAAAACTCAAACACATCGTTTAGCAATTCATTAACAGTGAGAGCTCGCGAATATTAAAACCCGAAGTCACGATTAAAATGTAGGTGTTTCACGCTAAAGTACACAATGTGATTTCATCAAGCCTCACCTTTCACTCTTGTATATGCCACATTTTCACCTGCGGCACCTACAGAATTCCAAGTACTAACACCAAAACGACGGCAATTTAATAACAAAATCTTAATTTATACAACTAATTAACTCAGTTAGCGTCTGATTCTTCTTTGTAATCGGAAGTGGGGGCTGATGTGGTCGTCCGATCGGTTTCTTGGATGGTGTTTTCGTCCGCCAGAAGCGCTTCCAAGACGTCGTTTTCCATATCTTCGGCTTCTACTTTTATTTGCATTGTGATCACAGTTTTGTTGATGCGTTTCAACTTCGGGAGGATCACTAGAAGGGGGATGAGTACGGGGTCTCTGATTGGGCCGCCCTCACCGGGAAGGGGGCCCCCTTCACCGGGAATAGCACCTTCGCCGGGTTGGGGCGCTTCTTCACTTAAAGTACCTGTGGAGGGTGGAAATGTTTTTATTGAACGTGGTTGGAATTTTCGTTAGATAGATGGATAGATGTAGAAGATGTAGATGAGCACGCTATTTTGCAACCAGAATCATTTACATGTTGATAGAAAATGTGCACACTAAAGAAAAGAGATAACGACTTCGAGTTTGAAATCTAGAAGAATTCTATCTAGAAAAGGGAAAAACAGAAGACCTTTGATTTCCGCACGAGACTCAAATTCCAGGGAAAAATTAAATACACAATATGAGTCCAAAAAAATCTAGGAAACTTCTGATCTAGACGAATAGATGTAGAAAATCTAGCAGTGGACGCTATTTAACAGAATTCTACGTAGAAAAGGAAGAAACAGAAGAGCTTTGCTTTCGGTGCGAGATTGAGATTGCCGAAGGACGTTAAACAAGGTGAGTTCGACAAGACTCTAGGAGGTTTCTGTCTCGAAACTAGAAGCAATAGAAAAATTTGAATTTCGACGTGACATAGATGAATAGATGTAAAAGTTCTAGCGGAGGACGCTATTTTACAACTGGAATTAAGAAAGGATCATTTGGATGAGATAGAAAATACGGATAGTAACCGAAGGCGTAAAGAATTTTTACTTTGAAACAAAAATTCTAGAAGAATTCTATCTAAAAAAGGGAAAAAGCAGAAGACCTTTGGTTTCGGCAGGAGATTAACATTCCAGGGAAAAATCAAATATTGAACTCAAAAAAATTCTAGAAAAATGCCATCTTGAAACTAGAAAGGAAAGAGAAGTTCGAAATTCTACATAACATAGACGGATAGATGTAAAAGATGTAGATGAGCACGCTATTTTGCAACCGGAATCATTTACATGTTGCTAGAAAAAGTGCACACTAAAGAAAAGAGGTAACGACTTCGAGTTTGAATTCTAGAAGAATTCTATCTAGAAAAGGGAAAACAGAAGACCTTTGATTTCGGCACGAGACTCAAATTCCAGGGAAAAATTAAATACACAATATGAGTCCAAAAAAATCTAGGAAACTTCCATCTTGAAACTAGAAGTGAAAAAGAAGTTTGAAACCCCACGTGACCTAGAAAAATAGACGTAGAAAATCTAGCAGTGGACGCTATTTAACAGAACTCTACGTAGAAAAGGAAGAAACAGAAGAGCTTTGCTTTCGGTGCGAGATTGAGATTGCCGAGAGGTTAAACAAGGTGAGTTCGACAAGATTCTAGGAGGTTTCTGTCTCGAAACTAGAAGCAATAGAAAAATTTGAATTTCTACGTGACATAGATGAATAGATGTAAAAGTTCTAGCGGAGGACGCTATTTTACAACTGGAATTAAGAAAGGATCATTTGGATGACATAGACAATACGGATATTAAGCGAAGGCGTAAAGAATTTTTACTTTGAAACAAAAATTCTAGAAGAATTCTATCTAGAAAAGAGAAAAAACAGAAGACCTTTGGTTTCGGCAGGAGATTAACATTCCAGGGAAAAATCAAATATTGAACTCAAAAAAAATGCCATCTTGAAACTAGAAACGAAAGAGAAGTTCGAAATTCTACATAACATAGACGGATAGATGTAAAAGATGTAAATGAGCACGCTATTTTGCAACCAGAATCATTTACATGTTGATAGAAAATGTGCACACTAAAGAAAAAAGGTAACGACTTCGAGTTTGAATTCTAGAAGAATTCTATCTAGAAAAGGGAAAAACAGAAGACTTTTGAAATTCCAGGGAAAAATTAAATACACAATATGAGTCCAAAAAAAATCTAGGAAACTTTCATCTTGAAACTAGAAGTGAAAAAGAAGTTTGAAACCCCACGTGATCTAGAAGAATAGATGTAGAAAATCTAGCAGTGGACGCTATTTAACAGAATTCTACGTAGAAAAGGAAGAAACAGAAGAGCTTTGCTTTCGGTGCGAGATTGAGATTGCCGAGAGAGGTTAAACGAGGTGAGTTCGACGAGATTCTAGGAGGTTTCTGTCTCGAAACTAGAAGCAATAGAAAAATTTGAATTTCTACGTGACATAGATGAATAGATGTAAAAGTTCCAGCGGAGGACGCTATTTTACAACTGGAATTAAGAAAGGATCATTTGGATGAGATAGAAAATACGGATATTAACCGAAGGCGTAAAGAATTTTTACTTTGAAACAAAAATTCTAGAAGAATTCTATCTAGAAAAGGGAAAAAACGGAAGACCTTTGGTTTCGACAGGAGATTAACATTCCAGGGAAAAATCAAATATTGAACTCAAAAAAAATGCCATCTTGAAACTAGAAACGAAAGAGAAGTTCGAAATTCTACATAACATAGACGGATAGATGTAAAAGATGTAGATGAGCACGCTACTTTGCAACCAGAATCATTTACATGTTGATAGAAAATGTGCACACTAAAGAAAAGAGGTAACGACTTTGAGTTTGAATTCTAGAAGAATTCTATCTAGAAAAGGGAAAACAGAAGACCTTTGATTTCGGCACGAGACTCAAATTCCAGGGAAAAATTAAATACACAATATGAGTCCAAAAAAAATCTAAGAAACTTTCATCTTGAAACTAGAAGTGAAAAAGAAGTTTGAAACCCCACGTGATCTAGAAGAATAGATGTAGAAAATCTAGCAGTGGACGCTATCTAACAGAATTCTACGTAGAAAAGGAAGAAACAGAAGAGCTTTGCTTTCGGTGCAAGATTGCGTTTGCCGAGAGAGGTTAAACAAGGTGAGTTCGACAAGATTCTAGGAGATTTTTGTCTCGAAACTAGAAGCAATAGAAAAATTTGAATTTCTACGTGACATAGAAGAATAGATGTAAAAGTTCTAGCGGAGGACGCTATTTTACAACTGGAATTAAGAAAGGATCATTTGGATGACATAGAAAATACGGATATTAACCGAAGGCGTAAAGAATTTTTACTTTGAAACAACAATTCTAAAAGAATTCTACCTAGAAAAGGGAAAAAACAGAAGACCTTTGGTTTCCGCAGGAGATTAACATTCCAGGGAAAAATCAAATATTGAACTCAAAAAAATTCTAGAAAAATGCCATCTTGAAACTAGAAACGAAAGAGAAGTTCGAAATTCTACATAACACAGACGGATAGATGAAAAAGATGTAGATAAGCACGCTATTTTGCAACCAGAATCATTTACATGTTGATAGAAAATGTGCACACTAAAGAAAAGAGGCAACGACTTGGAGTTTGAATTTTAGAAGACTTCTATCTAGAAAAGGGAAAACAGAAGACCTTTGATTTCGGCACGAGATTGAAATTCCAGGGAAAAATTAAATACACAATATGAGTCCAAAAAAAATCTAAGAAACTTTCATCTTGAAACTAGAAGTGAAAAAGAAGTTTGAAACCCCACGTGATCTAGAAGAATAGATGTAGAAAATCTAGCAGTGGACGCTATCTAACAGAATTCTACGTAGAAAAGGAAGAAACAGAAGAGCTTTGCTTTCGGTGCGAGATTGAGATTGCCGAGAGAGGTTAAACAAGGTGAGTTCGACAAGATTGTATGAGGTTTCTGTTTCGAAACTAGAAGCAATAGAAAAATTTGAATTTCGACGTGACATAGATGAATAGATGTAAAAGTTCTAGCGAAGGACGGTATTTTACAACTGGAATTAAGAAAGGATCATTTGGATGACATAGAAAATACAGATATTAACCGAAGGCGTAAAGAATTTTTACTTTGAAACAAAAATTCTAGAAGAATTCTATCTAGAAAAGGGAAAAAACAGAAGACCTTTGGTTTCGGCAGGAGATTAATAGTCCAGGGCAAAATCAAACATCGAACTCAAAAAAATTCTAGAAAAATGCCATCTTGAAACTAGAAACGAAAGAGAAGTTCGAAATTCTACATAACATAGACGGATAGATGTAAAAGATGTAGATGAGCACACTATTTTGCAACCACAATCATTTACATGTTGATAGAAAATGTGCACACTAAAGAAAAGAGGTAACGACTTCGAGTTTGAATTCTAGAAGAATTCTATCTAGAAAAGGGAAAACAGAAGACCTTTAATTTCGGCACGAGACTCAAATTCCAGTGAAAAATTAAATACACAATATGAGTCCAAAAAAAATCTAGGAAACTTTCATCTTGAAACTAGAAGTGAAAAAGAAGTTTGAAACCCCCCCACGTCATCTAGAAGAATAGATGTAGAAAATCTAGCAGTGGACGCTATTTAACAGAATTCTACGTAGAAAAGGAAGAAACAGAAGAGCTTTGCTTTCGGTGCGAGATTGAGATTGCCGAGAGAGGTTAAACAAGGTGAGTTCGACAAGATTCTAGGAGGTTTCTGTCTCGAAACTAGAAGCAATAGAAAAATTTGAATTTCTACGTGACATAGAAGAATAGATGTAAAAGTTCTAGCGGAGGACGCTATTTTACAACTGGAATTAAGAACGGATCATTTGGATGACATAGAAAATACGAATATTAACCGAAGGCGTAAAGAATTTTTACTTTGAAACAAAAATTCTAGAAGAATTCTATCTAGAAAAGGAAAAAATAGAAGACTTTTGGTTTTGGCAGGAGATTAACATTCCACGGAAAAATCAAAAATCAAACTCAAAAAAATTCTAGAAAAATGCCATTTTGAAACTAGAAACGAAAGAGAAGTTCGAAATTCTACATAACATAGACGGATAGATGTAAAAGATGTAGATGAGCACGCTATTTTGCAACCAGAATCATTTACATGTTGATAGAAAATGTGCACACTAAAGAAAAGAGGTAACGACTTCGAGTTTGAATTCTAGAAGAATTCTATCTAGAAAAGGGAAAAACAGAAGACCTTTGATTTCGTCACGTGACTGAAATTCCAGGGAAAAATTAAATACACAATATGAGTCTAAAAAAAATCTAGGAAACTTTCATCTTGAAACTAGAAGTGAAAAGGAAGTTTGAAACCCCACGTGATCTAGAAGAATAGACGTAGAAACTCTAGCAGTGGACGCTATTTAACAGAATTCTACGTAGAAAAGGAAGAAACAGAAGA